GAATCTGTACTGAAGATGACACCAGTAGGATTTGCTGATGGATTGAATGTGGAGCATGAGGAACAGGAGTCCAAGGTGACTGCTTTGTTTTTGGCTTGAACATCTGGAAGGAAGAAGTTGGCATCTATTTACAAGAGGAAGACTGTGGAAGGAGCAGGTGGGTGGGGGATGATCCAAAATTGGATTCTGGACATTTGAGGAATTTAGTGGCTGTCCAGTGGGATACCTACTGTAGGATATATGTGAAATAGGCAGCTGGAGTTCGGAGGAGTCATCCAGGCTGGAGAGAGCTCAACATGGGGTTCGTCAATGTATGTGTTATTTGAAGATGTAAGACCCGAGGAGAACCCCAAGGGAGTGAAAGTGGATGGGAGGACTAGAGGTCTGATCAGGGAGGAGCACCGAGGCACTCAGATGATCAGAGGGTGAGTGACAAGGAGGAATTAGCAAAGACTTTGAAGGCATGGCCAGTGAGATGGGAGGGTCACTGTGCTCTCTAAGGCAAGGGGAGTGACTGCCTATATCAAATACAGCTACTAGATTGATTATGAGGCCTGAGCGATTGTGACCTTGACAAAAATGTTTTGGTAGAGCAGAGAGAATGGAAACAAGAATTAGAGACAAGTGTAGGCAATTCTTTCTAGAAGTTTTTCTGTAAAAGGAAGAAAGAAATGAAGTGGGGGCCAAAAGAGAAAGTGTGGTCAAAGATTTTTTTTTAAATAATGGAGAACTAGTGTCACATGATTGAATGCTGGTGGAATGATCCGGTAGAGAGGGAAGTCTGATGATGCAGAAGAGGCTGAGAAGCATCCTGGAGTAGTGTCCTCGAGGAGACCAGAAAGCATGCAACCCAGGACATCGGTGCAGGGTTGGCCTTGGGTTGGGGTGCAATTAGAGCACCCACAGTAATAAGAAGGAAGGCAGGATGTCTAATAATCTTTTTATTTCAATAGCTTTGCCTACTCTGGACATTTCATATAAATGGAATCATACAATATGTGGTCTTTTGTGATTAACTTCTTTTATTTAGCACAATGTTTTCATGGTTCATCCATGTTGTAGCATGCACCAGTTCTTCATTGTTTTTTATTATCAAATAATATGCCATTGTATGGGTATATTATTTTCTTTATTCATCAGTTGATGGACTGTTTCTACTTTTTGGCAATTTCTAATTGGATTCTGGACATGGTACATTTGAGGAATTTAGTGGCTGTCCAGTGGGATAGTGCTGCTATGAACAGCAAGTTTTTGTGTGGACAAGCATTTTCTCTTGGAAACCTAAAAGCCAAGGATCACCCAAATTTATCAAATTTGTGCTATTATTTTTCTTTTTCACAGGTAAGCTAACTGAGGCAGAGAGGAGTTAAGTAGTTGTGCAGGGTCACACAGAAAGGAGTGGCAGGATTTGAACCCTGCTAGTCTGGCTCCCAAGTCCTACCTCTCAACTACTCTGATTTTACTGACTCTGTATAGCCATAGCACGTGAAAATTATTGGCAGAGGCAGCCTCATGTCCATAAACCCAGAAGGGAGAGTGCCTGATGCTATTAAGCACAATGCTGGCTATTCCTTTAAACAGTAGTTCTCAACCTTCCTAATGCAGCGACCCTTTAATACAGTTCCTCATGTTGTGGTGACCCCCAATTTCATTGCTACAAATTGAACATAATTAAAGCATAGTGATTAATCACAAAGACAATATGTAATTATATATGTGTTTTCCGATGGTCTTAGGTGACCCCTGTGAAAGGGTCATTCGACCTCCAAAGGGGTCGCGACCCACAGGTTGAGAACCGCTGCTTTAAGATATTCTTATGCTAAAAAAGCTTCCTTTAATTCTTAATTCACTGAGAGTTTCATTTAGGAATAACTGAAACATTTTATCACCCCTGCTTCTTTTTTGCATGTTATGAATTAGGGGTTGACGAACTTTTTCTTAAATGGACAGATAGTAAATATTTTAAGCCATAGGTAATATTTGAATTATAAAACCAGGTGTCCGGCTAGTGGGCCACAGTTGCCAAATTTCTGTTATAGATGATCAGGTGGGTTTTCTCTCCTTACTCAGTGATATTGAGGTACTCCTACATTCTGGAATAGTTCAGCTTGACCATGTCAGAGTTACTGCAGTAATCTCTTTGTTAGTATTTTATTTAAGATCTTTACATCTTCATTTAGGAATAGGATAGGATCTCTCTCTCTCTCTCTCTCTCTCTCTCTCTCTCTCTCTCTCTCTCCCAAAAATGAATGGGGAAACTTCATCTTGTTTCTATGCTATGGAACAAAGAATGATTTATTAAGACTGATAGGATTTCCCCCCAAAGAAACCATCTTGGCTTGGTGTTGTTTTTTTTGTTTGTTTTTTAAGTAGTGTTTTGAGATCTCTTTCACCTTCAGGGTTACTGATTTCTTCATGGTTTCTATTACTTTTGAATCCATTTTTAGCAATTTATATTTTTCTAGAAAATCATCCACTTCATCTAGATTTTCCAAGGTTTTTTCATTGATTTGGGTATGGTAAATCTCTTAATGTGTCTATTCTCCTCATAATATCTTTTTATTTTATCTTCCTGATTTCTAATGGTATACCCATTTTTTAACACTAGACTTAATAATGCTTATTTTATTGATCTTTAAAAAGTTTTCTCTGGGGTTTAATTATTAATTGTAATATCCCTTTTCTTTCTACTATATTAATTTCTACTTGTCACTTTCAATTTTTGGTCTTCCTACTTTTCTCTTTCTAATTTCGTGAGTTATCAGATAATTTATTTTCATTCCTTCTGTATAAAAGCAAAAACATTTAAGACTGAATTTTCTTTGGGTTCATACTTGGCTACCACTCACAAATTTGGGAACATAGTCCTCTCACTGTTGATAATTTCTATGTATCTGATTTTAGTTGTGGTTTTCTCTTTGACTTAGAAGGGTTTTAAGAGTATGCCTTTAAATTTATAAAAGTTTGGGACTTCTAATTTTTAAATTTCAGTTTTATTGCATTATGGTTAGAGAGTGTGATTGATAATGGTTCATGTTTGGACTTTATTGAAATTTGCTTTGTGGCTTTTAATTTTTCTAAGTGCTCCAACGATGCTGGACAAGAAGGTATATTTTCTGTGTTTAGATTACATAATGTTTGTCTATTTAATTGATACTGTTAATGGTATCATTCATATACTCCGTCTCCATATTCTTTTTAAAAATTTACTTGATTTTTCAAGACTGAGGGAAATGCAATAACTTTTCTGTAACTGTTGTGTTAATGTCATTTTTTCATACAAAACACACTGGTTGTTGCCTATTTATGCCTGACTCTGAGCCTGAGTCATCCATCCAAATCTTTAAGTATCTGGGCTGGAGAAGGAAAGCAATATTGAAGAGGAATCAAAAAGCTAAATGAAATTCCATTCTAACCATTTCTACATATGTGTACATGTGTGTATTTGGGGGGGTTGTATATGTGCATTTTGGCATATATATCCCTTGAGCATGTCTATTTAAATATAGTTTTCCATGTGTTGGTGATGTTTGAGTTTGACATGTATGTCTGTATATGTTTATATATCCATAGTATCTTTTTCTTTAAATTGAACTTAAAACATCAGGGCTAAGGTCTGTCTTGCCCTATGCCAGCTTTTTCAAGAGTGGTTACAAGTGAGAAAGCTCTGCTACCTTATGTCTTAACACATCTGACCCTCTTTTCCTCTCTTCTGGCTACAGAAGCTCCTCCTGGTAAGTTGTTCAAATAGCGGCTCTCTGCAGACCCATCCTCGCTCCGACACCCGCTTTCTGTGCTGTGTGTCTGGGAACTGCATTCTGGCCACACAGAGGGTGTTAGGGCTATACGTTGAGGATGGGTGAGATGCTGAGAACCTCATTCCACCCTTTCCCCACTGTGCCTGTTCAGGTTCCTGCAGCATTTCTTCAGCTTGCGCTCACCCTTAATATGCCAGAACTCACAGGACTGAGCATTGGTTAAAGGGAGCCCATAACCTTTCCAGACACTTGGTGGTAGACATTCAGTTCGTTTTATAGAATCAGAGGGGGGTCCTGGGAGATCTCCTGACTCACCCCCTCATATGGAGGAGGAAAGTGAGTCCCAGATGGGCTATCCTTAAACCTTGTCCTTGGCCCTTCCCACTGAACCGGTGAGCTCTAATGGCAGTCACAGGCACAGACCAAGTGCCCGGCCCCTGGAGATTTTGTGCGGAGGCCTGGGGAAGAGTGACCATCCCACCTACAAGAGCTAAAAGGTCGTGTAGGCACAGCATGTGCAGGAGGAGTTAAAAGTGGAGAGACCTGTGTGTAGCATACATAACAGGCTTGTCTACCTTTCCCTACAAGTGTGAGTACATGGAGGAAGGACAGGCAGAGAGTGGGTTGTCACAGCCTTCCTTTCTTCTCACCTAATTTCTCTCAGGTAGCATAATGTTTTTTGAACAAAGGACACTTAGTATTTGTTGATTTTCAAGGATTTGAACTTGATTTGACCTTGGGGGAGGCTGAGTTCTGGTATTTGATGCTTTCTTTTTTTTTTGCTGGGGTGGGGGCGGGTGCAGGATAGCTCTTTGGGGGTCTGAGTTACCCTGGGTCTACTGCATTATATTTATAAATAAGACATTATTGACATTTCCCCCGAAGAGTTACCCTATGTACCGTCACATTTTAGCCTCAGGTTATTTATGCCCACTTCCCAGAAGGAAAAGGGAGATCCGAGAGCTTAACAGATTCACACAGTGAATAGGGGACAGGGCCCAGGCTAGAGCTTCTGCCTCTTCATGCACCAAGCAGGTATTCAAACCCTTTTTTTTCAGTCTGTGCAGTCTTGGCCCCCTTGGAGAGTCAGGAAGTTCCAGCTCTCTGCTCCCCTAAACTCACCCCAACAGGGGTGCTTTGAAGTCCCGGCCAACCTGTAGACATTGTCAGCTGTTCAATCCAGAAGGACCTTGCTTGGCAAGTTCTGTTTCTGAAATGATGGGTGTCTTTCTACCTGCGCAGGAGGAGGAGTTCATCGATTGGTGGAGCAAATTCTATGCCTCGATCGGGGAGAGGGAAAAGTGTGGCTCCTACTTGGAGAAGGACTTTGACACTCTAAAGGTGAGGCCTCTCTAATGTTCTCTTCTGTCTGTTAGCCCTGGGCACATGTGATGGGCACGGGAGACACAACAGAAAGAGAATATATGTATATTTATGTTTGTCTCCTCGTTTGGTACCTGAAGGCTGAAGAATCTGGATGAACTAATTGAGGTAAGAAAGGTCACCAGAGATTTAGAGCAAGAAGTCACTGTGGGCTGGGATGACCCAGAAAGTGTTTTTAGAAGAATGCTAGAGAGTACTGAAGTACTTATGGGTGAAACGATGTTTGAGATTCGTTTTAAGATGCTCAAAAAAAAAAAAATAATAGTAAGGGGGAAGATGGATGGTATGGGTGGCCCTCTGATAGATTTTCAAAATATTAAAAATTATTGAGATTGCAAAATGTTGAAAATTGTTAAAGCTTAGAGATAGGTACTTAGGGATTTGTTATACTATTCTGTACCTATTGAAGACATTTGAATTTTTCTATAATAAAATTTTGTGTCAAAGGAAAAAAGAAAGTCAGCTTAAGAATGTTGCTGTGATTACCCTACACCTACAATTGGGACAGAAATTACCCAGTAAATACAAAAATAAGGTAAACTCTCTTTCT